AGACTGTATTATCTGTATCGAACGTCGCAGCCGAGTGGTTACCACTATTGCTTCGTATTCGGGAGGTCCCGGACTCAAATATAGGCCCTGACTGAGGTTACTCTCGGGCCGACACTGTCTCTTCAGGCAAATGCCGGGTTTGTACCTTAAATTACTTCATAACCGATTCTGTTTTTCGATTTCCTTCCCAATTCACTGTTCATTATTCACTGTATCATCGGACAATGTGGGTTATTCACAGTTTTGTTAAGTAAACCGCAAATATGATAAAATAACACGGTGCCCCCGCGACATGAACCTGCTCGAAAACAAAATGGCGCTGATTATCTCCATCCTCAAGTTGCTTAGGTTTCTGTCCTGTTATTTGCACTTATACCCCGTATTCATTGCACTGCTTAGCACTAAAAATGCGCGATAATCCTGATATACAACCTTCGCCATTTTTCTGATTTGGAACTTGGTCGAGTATCGAAAAAGGGACTTTAATTTTCATAATGTTGTCGTGAAAGGGACATGTATATTTATGAATTATTAAGCCTACCCGTTGAAGCACGAAGCTCTTCTAATAGGTATTTAAAAATTCAGTGCTTACCTAACGAAACTACATCACGTCACCGCTACAAAGATAATTTGGTTAATAACGTTCAGGGAAATTATCGTTGTTTTTATGACGGTCGTATGAAACACCTAAATACACTGTTGTGATTTCAGAATTATTGAATGTTAAAGCAGGTGGTACGTATATAGTTGTCGCTGTGCTTTAAAGTTTTTTATGTGACTACTTGTCTGTGTTATCCATGAAACGATCTAGTCGCCAAATTTGAGAATGGCTCTTCTGCGCAGTTTTAATGTAGATAAGTCATCACAAATCATTTTAGGCGCATAAACGTAGATTTGAACGCCTGTCCTTCGAATTAGTAAGGTTATTGCTTAAGTTGTTTATTAAAGAATACATGCATATGTAACATTATGATATTGTAAGCCTATTTCGTTAATTACTGTTGACAATCCACTTAAATAAGTATCATAATGTGCTAGACATATACGCACTCTGCGTCAGCTTTGTTTCAATAGACGGCAAGGAATTTGATAAAACTACACATTCCACCACGCGATGATTTTATAAACAATAAATGCACACAAAATTTTGGTTGAGAAGATCGTACTTATAAAAAAAGAGATGTAGGCTGAAAGGCATCAAAGGGAGGGGGGAATGCACTGCAAATATGTGAACTGGAGCATACCCATTCATCACATGGTCTGGTTGTGGGTTTATGTGACCATGTGGCAAATTTCGTTGTGAAGAACACGAAATTTCTCTACCAACCAAAGAACTGTCAATTATATCAACGAAGACCCAGTATATGGAACAAGTTGGTGAAGTCATAACATTTTAGACAGATCAGAATTTCCTCCTTTTAGAACTTTACCTACTCTTCAGTTTAATTTTCGAATTTCCATTTCATTTAACGCTATAGAACATGTAGTTGAAATAATGTCGTTAAATAGCATAAATACAACTCATTTATCTCAAGATGTGACATCGTACATGGTTTTAGAACAAATTTTATTTGTTGTAGAAGACACAAGCAGTTCTGTGTGATGCTTTCTGTTCCCTGGTACTATATTTCTTATGCACATTTCTTTAGTGTTCCTTCGAAAAGAGTCGAGAGAGACAAACAAGTTGAGTCAACAATTTTACCTCAAAGAAATTTTCCATTCGTCTCATTATGATGTCACGTCATGTTTCACAGAAATATCAACATGAGATTTGTCTGAAACTTCCAACTGCGCAGAATATACACACGCAGGCATAATTGTTTAATATTAAACAATTATGTGGAATTGTTACCTAGAATCTCGGTACCATCTATGTGAGAGATTAACTGAAAAGCTAAGCTCGTCGTAATATTAACAGTTGTGTTCCATTGTTCAAGAAGACGCAACACTGTGTTACAAAGGTCAATAGGTAGCGATGCCAACATAGACATATTTCGTGGGACGCATGTTGAATTGTTGAACGTTTAACGCGTGTGATAGAGAAACACAGACATCTTTGCACCACAGATACCATAGATAGCTTACAAATGTTTGGCAATAATTAGCTAAATATCGCAGAACTAATGTGGATATGATACTACTGAAAGGTCTCCACCAACTGTAATAGCTGTGTTGGAACTTAACTTTATGTTATAAAAGTGTTGGTTAATATTATTTTTCTTTGTTGCTGCATTAACTTGTGAACAAGTCAGATGAAGCAGTGCAGAGGATGACGATATAGACACTTAAGTGACGTCAAATCACTTGTTTGAAGTTCTTACGTGATACTTAAGAAACCACAGAGAGAATGACACACAATCTTAAGATAGAAATGTGTTTGAAAATAAAATAAAAATAAGCTTCTTAGCAATCCATCAATGAGCAAACAATTACTTTACATGTGCAGCTCCTACAAAGAAAGATTGCGTTAGGGCTGTGAGAAATTCGAACACATTTTTGGCTCGGATGCTGGAAGGAAGAGACCACTGTGAAAAACGAGGCGTAGATGAGAGGATGACATTAAAACTAATCTTACGAAAATGAGGTGGATAATTGTCGATTGAATTTGTGTGGTTAGGGACACGGAAAAATGGTGGGATTTTGTGAACATGATAATGAACCTTTGTGATCAACTGTTGTAATCTATAGGCCTAATCTTACAGTGTTTACGACTGGCCTTTCTTTTAAATTCACTCTGACCTTGTAACTTATAAAAATTCAGCCGTCATTGATGAGCTGACAGGGACATGTTATAGTTGGAGATATGGCTCTAATTAACGCTGTCTGTTGCACAGGGACATGTTATAGTTGGAGGTATGGCTCTAATTAACGCTGTCTGTTGCCTAATAGATTTCGAAAAAGAATGACCTGATCACGTACTGAAGTCCTATTTGCTAGTATGAAAATTACACAACAATGCCAGCGTTGAAAATCGCAGTTTTATCTACATTGTTGCATAGCATGTTCAGATGGCTGCCAGTCAGTGGTCACACTACGAACAAAGAAGGAAGTAGATATTAATTTTCGTTCAACGAAAATTTTCAAAAAAATGTGCCGCTCTAGGCGACCTCTTGTTTCGCCGGTATTATTGTATTGTCTCATGAAAACAAATAATTAACATCTGGATATACCCTGCAGTATTTCCTCTGAATCCTTGATATAAATTCACGACTCAGTCAAAATGATTCTTTGATTCATCGTCACAGATCACTACGAATACTTCCAAAAGGTAATCCTGCTTTGTTCTTTCTTTTGCATATTTGGTAAGGTTATGTCATAAGTGTCTTAAATTTTCCTTTCTTTCGTTATGCTACCATTGCGTGGGCAGCTTTTCGGCACCGAATTCTTTCCTTGTTTGTTCGCATTAAACTGAATTTGGGTCACCGGCTTCATAATGCATAAAATATGTTCATTTACGTTGCTAAGATTCAGCACAGCCTAAGAATGTTTGCCTAATTAGCTCACATTCAAAAGCACGATACTTGGACTTTTGTCATTGAATGCATGATTACGTAATTAAATTCATACTTGCTTTTATTTTAAATTAGAAAGTAAATTAAATTTGTACTTTCAAATATCATATTTTATATGTCATCCGTAAACCAGTGAGGCTGGTGAGAACGGAGCGTAATTGAATAATGTGGAATCAAAGTTAACTAATTTTGAACAAACGTTATTCATGTATTCAGGGCTCTGTGCTGATCTTAATTATCAGGGGACACGTTAAATTCAGCCCTTTTTAGTGGCACACTGTACGGATTTTCAATCAATACAAGTTTTGTATGTTGGACAAATGGACGTCAAAGCTCATTGTCTCCCTTTCGTCCTCTGATAAGTAAATGTGATGTCACCGGGGTGCCAATGTTTACATTTGCACTTTTACCTTGCTTCGTCATCATGATTTACCAGACTATCAGACATCGTGACGATTGGAGAGAATTATAAACAAGTGGAAATTCACTCTGTTCCCGTAGCACAAATTACACAAGTGGTTTTTATTTATTGATTTATTTTTTCATATTTTACTCATGTTCCAATGGTAAAGGTTGCTTAGTGATGGATGAGGCACTTGTGCCTCATATTCTCACTCGAATTAAAAATTAATGAGTGACGTGACGTTTAATGTTATGATATTCATTTCAAGTTCCAAGCAATTATTTGGGGGGGGGGGGGGCAAATACCTTAAATATATGTATTTCATTGGTAAGGAAACATCCTGGCTTTTCAGACCTATTGCACATCTTGAATAGTAAAATAAATTTTATTAAACATTGGTAGAATGATGATTGTCAGGGGAAACCGACGTACCGTGATAAAAACCTTCTCTGGCACGACTTTCTCCCTGCATTGACTGTAATAATGATAGAAGTACGTAATAAGGAAACTTCATAATGTCTTCTCATCACCAGATAATATTAAGTTGACCAAATCAAGGAATATGAAATTTGTGGTACTTGCAGCATGCATGTGGGAGACGAGGAACGCATAAAGAATTAGACGTAAAACCTGAAGAGAAGAGAGACTTTGTGATGCTTAAGTGTAGACGGAAGGGTAATATTAATAATATGGATTTTAAATAAATAGAATGTGGTAGACTCAAATAACTCAGGACAAGGTCCAGTGGTGGACTTTCGTGAACACTTTCAATTTTGACACAACTTTATATTTTGGTACCACGTAAAATATCCAGATTTTACTGAATTTCGAGGTAAACTGGACAATACGAAATACACAGCAAAACATTTTCACATATATATTTATTTATTTACGAAAATAATACACAATATTCATACAACAATAAATTTATATTTCACACATTAAATATCTTCTTGTATAATAAAAGGATAATGGTTTATATTAACGAACATAAAACCAGTGCGTCTTGCGTCCGGCTAACAACTGTCTTAAAAACACAGTTTTCTCTCAGTGTATTTACTTTTTAGCAGTTATTACTGTGACAGACGAAATCTGATTAGTTCCTTTATGGGTAACAGTTGAAAGCTACAGACATTTGACCGATTACCAATTTAATGTTGTTTTTTTTTAAAAAAAGGGTAGTTTCCTGCAACCACTAATATAAAAAATAAAGTTTGTACACATGAATACTAAGTTATAATGCATAATTTCATACACACTTACAAACACATAATTGATTCACAATCTTTTCAAATTAAAAAAACTGCGTTAAAATACATTGCGTGAAAATGATGTCTAACACGTCCTACTGTAGGCACTTCTAGATAATGAATCTATAAGAGCAAAAATTTGAGGATGTGTATGAGAGAAATAAAGCTCGATCTCACACACACTGTACTGTACTTAAAACCAGAATTTTGCCAACTTATAATTGACGTGTCAACTATACGAGTCTTAACATATTAACTGCCAAATATTTCTCAGGTTGACGACTCCTATATTTTGGAAGGCATGAAATACTTCCATACGTTCGTAAAACCTGGCAGAGTATCAACGATTTACCGCTGACGGCATAGATATCGTAAAAATTCAAAAATATGCGTATAAGTTGCGGACCAGGATATCCCGCTATAGTCTCCGCTAGATTGAGATATCTAAGGTGTATTAGTCACAGGTTAAACATTTTAATCCATTAACATACTGAAGACCAGTGCTCATAAATAACAAACAAAAACAATAATTGCAACCAATATGCAGTATTTCTTCTTTTACGTAATACATTACCATTAATTATTATTCTCCAAAGTCAGCAAAATTTATAACTTTCAGTGATAAAAATCACAAATACCTAGCTTGAAGTGTCATGAGAATTCATTTTAAAATGTCAAAATATTTAGAGAATACGCAGTCCGAGCTTTTGATCAAAATATCTCGTTCGCATAGTGGAAAATTGTAATTACATTCAGAGTTTATTTGAAATGTCTCATGTTTGTCTACAATCATTGTTTTTCTTTGTTCTTTCCTTCTCTCGGTAAAATATTTTACATTAACATTTTAAAAACACAATTCCTTTGTTTGGTTAGTAAAATAGGGTTAAAAATTAATTATATACACAGAGATCACCTAAAATTTGTTATCTGTCTAAAAAATGCAAGTATAAATTCCCCTCGTAACCTCACATCCTGAAGATTAATTGTGCTAGCCTAACCTACTGTAACGCTCACATCAGAAATAATAGGTAGAGATTATTTTGCAACACCCTTTTGGTAACGAAGCGCCAACGAATCAGCAGGTACTGGTGCTCGCGGTTTTAAATCTCCCAGAGTACGCGTAAAATGACTCGGCCGCGACGTTGTTCTCCCTCTACCAGGAGCGTGCGTCATTTTCTTGTGAGACAAAACATTTCCTGAAACCGAAGGTCTCACGCCACGAGGTGATCCAGAAGGTATCGATACCTGAAACTCTGGATTCTGTAGCGTTGATCGTAGTGTAATTGCAGGCGTTTCTCTTGTTCTTGACTTAGATGTGCTGTACGGCAGATGACATACTGTGCAGCGGCTGCTATTTTCATGGTCTGGATATAATGGTCTGGCAAACAATCTGTCATCTAGATCATACTCGTGAACACCTGAAACACACAAATTTCTGTTAATTATATAACTACCCACTTTATGGTTCCTGCACCTTGTCGTGGTGGTGGGGCTTGAGTACCTCAGTGACCCCAAGAGCTACTGGTAGGGCCTCCCTAGCCAGATTGGTCGAGGGGGAGAGGTCAGACTAAGACAGGTACCCTGGTCGTCCAGGTTGGGGGTTGGTCGCAAGGCTAACAACCTTGCGCCATAAAAAGGAAGACGTTTCGAAACCTCGATCAAAGCCTCGGACAGACGGACCTAACAGAGGACCGAAAGGAAGAGGAGAATTGAGGAGGCCATGGACCGAATACAGACCGGAGAGCCATAGAAGAAGAAGAAGTCATATAGAATACACAATGAGGAACAGGTTTCATACACACATTTATGGCCTGTGGGATGAGTAGCTCCTCTTTCGAAGTTTCTAGCAGAGTCTGGATGTGGATAAGCATGGCAATCAAACCAGTGTGACTGTCGGAACTCATTCAACTCATCAAACCATCTTGATCTTCGTCCGCAGCAACATTGAGGTTGCATATGTTTCTTATCATGTCCATTGTCCACCAGGCCTTCCACTTCACCACTCACTATCAGTGGGGTCTTGGGGCGGAGCATCTGCTTTGCACTGCCATCACAAAAACAGGCACAGGGGCTTGATGGGAAGTCCCCTGGGCCGGTAAGTTCCAGCTGAAATACAGCACAGAAATTACAGGGTTTGATATTTGTAATAAGAGTAAAGAAAAGTAAAGCTGTCCCACTATATGCCATGTAGGCGCTTGGGGGGAGTGGAGGTATAGCTCCTACTAATTCTTGACCTCGGCACTAGATGGGGGAAAGTGGTCAGCATCATGCCCCGTTTTAATACTGTAATAAGAGTAGGGAGACAGATAACTGACTCTTTAATGAATGAACAGAAATATTCTCTAAGTCTGCTTCAGCTACGATGCATGAGCCCTTATATTTTCATATCACACTTCTATCTAATTATGCAAACCTGAAACACAGCCAGACTTGGGCTTTATGCAGCCGAATGGAATGGATTTCAGGGCAAACAACAAAAAATGCCAATGCACATTGTTTGACACTGACAGTGAAACCCTAAAAGAATCAGAGTTATAATATAATTTTAAACAACATTCTGTAGTAATTGGCACTTCTGGACAGCAATGTTACCATGAATTTCTTTTTTTTATTTAACAACACTTTGGTTACTGCATACACCATACAGCATGACATGAGAAATAAAAGTGAGAGTGGCTATAAATTTCCACAGAGTAGCATGACATGAGAAATACACGTGAGAGTGGCTATAAATTTCCACAGAGAAATCCTAACAAACCGTCTTCAAACAAAACACTGAAGCTTCAAATCATATATCACTGAGTCTTCAAACAAAACTAGATTTTGATTCAATGCACTGAAGCTTCAAATCATATATCACTGAAGACTAACCTTTTCTGCTGGGTTTGCTTGTGCATTCTCTTTTGTAGCACTAGGGGACCTTTTCTTGGACTGGATGTTCTGCTGGACACGACAGTGACATTTTTTCCTGAAGCAGACACGTTTCCTGTTCTTCTTCTGCCTCATCTCACCCTTATATGCATGTCTTGGGCTACGTGTAGCCTGTTTAGTGGTGCTCTGTTTATTCCCATCAGAGATCAGTTCATGACTGCCATGGCTAAAGTGGGGTCTAGCAGAAGGAGGAAACTTAAGTGGTGTAAACTTTTCTAGATTTGTCTTGTCTGGACTTGGTTTCGTAGGTTTCATTCGATTAGTTTGTACTGTGCTGCCAGAATACTGGGATTTCTTGGGTGATGTCTCTGACCTTGGCTTTGCCAAAGTTGTTCTTATGTTCGCTGGAGCAACCAGATCACCAACAGCCTGAAATCTTTCCTTCAATCTCTGGAGAAATATTGATTGTGGAGAATAATCAATTATTGCATGTGCTGACTCTAAAGTTCTCCTCTTTTGGTCATTGTCTTTTTTCCCATCATTCATATTATATTTTGGTGAATGTAGTTCTGAAGACTGCTTACATATGTGATGATCACTGTCAGTATGTGTTGGGGAGATGGATCCCTCGCTTTCCTGTGATGTTACACTTGAATGTGTTCCATCCTTGCCAGCAGATGTTTTGCAGTAACATTCTTCAGAACCCTTTCCACTGTTTTTTACATCAAATGTAGTGGATGATTTAACTGGACATTCACAAAGTTGCATTACTTTGCCTCTGTGCCTTGGTCTAATTAAGGTGCTTTGCTTACTACGTTTAGCTGGTGATGTAATATCTTCCATTATTTGTTTGTGCTTTGCATTCAATTCCTGACTATCTGAACTGCTAGAGCTGACACTGTATACTGCTGCATTCAGAGTGGCTGTTACTTGACTAGAGGAATTTCTTCTTTTCCAAGACTCATACTTCCTCTTTAAAGGTGATAGTGGGTGAGCTTGCTGTGATTTTTCTGAACACCTTGCACTTCTGTAACCAAAATCCTAGTGAACTACTACAGAAAAATTAACAACATAAACAAAAGCAAAATGTTTTGACATTGTATATAAACATAACCTACCTAGCAGCGCGTTTTAATTCTTTCAATCTACGTTCTAGCAGAATGGAGTTTGACTCAAGCTGATCAAGAAGTACACGATTTCTTTCCCTTAGTGCAATCATTTTCTGACTACACGGAGAATTCATATTTAAAAGTATTTTTTGTACTTGTTATCTTGCCACACTTATTTTTCCTTCGTTTGTGTACACAATATGTGCAGACAATTTAAAATTGATCTGTGCAGGATGTACAGGTTAGAAGTTTCTTCACTAGATCACGAGAGGAGTATCATATAATAAAATATAAAGTATGGGCAGCAATGTTTCTCCATAGAAATCCACACTAATTTAATTTATAATTCACGCACTATATGCTTGTTATTTTCTGTGTTATTACGACAATATTTTATAATATAGCATATTTTACATTATGAGATAGGGAAATTTTATGTGAGGTATATTGGGCAACCTGTAGCCATATGTCGCCCGTCTTTAACAGCAAAATGTTGCTGCCCGTGTGTATGTTTGGAAGTTCAAATTTTGTAACATTTTTAGCAAGATTATGTTGTTGATTTAGTATGAAATAGCAGAAGGCAGTTAAATTGGATGTAAGTAATACAGACTTTTGAAATTGGAAGTAACAGCAATGTTTATGTGTACGTATTTGCATTAATACTTTTGCGATTAAAATTTTCTCTTATGTTGTAGACACACGTAGTTTCATCTAACAACAAAGAGGTTGTATAAGATGCTGAAATACATTTCTGGGTATTGCTTGGAAGTGGATGGTATCATAACACATATACTGTATCTGGAGTACATGGTAGTAGTTGATTCTTAACGTTAACCTAACCTCATAACACTGAAGTTAGGTAAAATTCATATAGATTGTTTATGAGAATTGGATGTTGGTCACCACTACTTTAGGTGCAGCTATGAATTTTTCACCATTCGGAGGCCATTTTCCTGCAGTTCACCAATTTACAGCAGCAAAATTTGGCAATGAGCAAATTCAGGCTGGCACTATGCTGGTAACAAGCACATCTGATGGAACAATCCAGTATATTCGGCCAGAGCACAGTGGTGCAAACTTCCTTCCACCAGGAGCAAACAACAACCCGGTCCAGGGAATCCCAGTGTCCATTGCCACAACGGCTGTGAATATTCCTGTTTCTGCAGCTTCTCGTGGCATCACTACAGTCCAACAGCATCATGTTCAGCACCAGCAGCAACACCAGCATCAGTTGGCAGCCATGGTAAACCAGTCAGCAGGTGGCACGAAGTATCACCACTCACATGGAGCTTTACTTGGTTGGGGTGAGGTACCACTGATGCATCATTTTAATGACACAGGGAAAAACATTACCACAATAAATGTCCCTTATCCCAATCCTTCTGTAAATTCCGCAGCTATCTTGGCTGTTCAGCCGACACAGACATCTGGTGCTCCATCTGTGGCACCAACAGTGTGGCCTGTGAGGTTGATGCAAAATGTGTCTACCATGACTGTTGAGGCAGAGTTGCGGCCACAGGATCTGTGCAAGGTAGGAGAGAACATCAGGCCAAAGCCAGAAATTTCCAAGCGAGATAAAGACTCTGGAGAAAGTGAAGATGACAGTGATGACAGTTCAAAATCAGACATAGAAGGGCCGTCCTCCACAAGTGAGCCTGAGAATCACCATAAGCAGGGAGTCCAAGTACCAGTCAGCATAGGTCACATAACAAATGGCAGTGGTCAGTTGGAGTGTCATCAGATCCAATTGCAACAGCAAGGATCTGCGATGGCAGACTACCTTGCAAGGCTGCAACCTTCCTCGATTCCGCTCACCTTTCAGCACTTCCTTAAGTATCAGACAAACAATGTTGCAGTGGCTGCAGTGTCAGAAATCAAGAGAGAGGAAGAAAATATGCCTATGGCAGTTCCAGGAAGCATGGCTCCTGTCCAGGAGGACATACCAGCCATGTCACCCAAGAAAAAGAAAAAGAAGAAATCTCCAAGAAAACCACGTCCTAAGCCTGGAGAAATCCGCCTATCAACTGCTTTGGATGGTTCAACATTGTTTTGCTGTCCTGAGTGTTACATGGCATATCCTGATAGGGATATGTTGGAACAGCATCTAGCTGGACATAAACAGGAGCGGCGTTTTGTTTGCAACGTCTGCGGGGCAGGTCTGAAACGTAAGGAGCATCTCGACCAGCATAAACGTGGCCACAGTGATGAACGGCCATTTGTGTGTACGGTATGCATGAAGGGATTCAAACGAAATGAGCACCTTACGCGACACTATGTGATCCATTCAGGAAACAAGAGCCATGCCTGCGTTGAGTGCGGCAAGGCGTTCTCTCGCAAGGATCATCTCCACAAGCATGCCCAGACACACATTGCCAAACGTGTGAAGGCAGAGTTAAGCCAAGCTGCTAGTCTTGATAGAAATACAATCTCTACACCAGTCCCCACAACACCTACCTCCATGACCATTCCCCATGTGATCCATCACCACCAGCAACCTCTGACTCACCCCTTGCACCTCCATCACACCATGTCCTGATAGACACTCCTGCATCATCCTGCAGACAGTATTTCCTCCCATTTCTTCTGACTGGCTTGGCTTCGGGCAGTTACGTTTTAGTTATGTGGCCATATCTGTATTGCCATTCAGCATTATTTTAAGAGCGTGTTGTATTAGCTGTTCACTTGAGTGAAGGTGTGCCATCGTACGTTTTCCATATTCTTTCATTCTTACTAGAGATGTTTGTGATTGTTTGAATCTTCCTTACTTTGTCTATAGAATGAAGAATGTGTTATGTCCATTCACATACATGCCAGGCATCATATTCATAAAATGACGTAATGTTAAGTGTGTCAACACACACAGTAAAATGTAAATATTAAATCATATACCAAATTCCACAGAACTTGCATTCTTATCAGGTCTTAACCTTTTTTCTGTTCTAATAACAGAAAAGTAAAGTTATCCCTGTAGTTTATTACTCACCATTCCATGATAACATATTGGGGAGTGGAGGCATAGCCCCATACGTTGTTAAATGTGTTAATACTTGTACATGTAGGTGAGTGGTGAGCTACATGCTCCCTGGACAAGGATGGGTTCAGTAGCTGGTCTACATGTGGTGGCAAAGAGAAATCCTCACCTGCCAGGGATCAGAATTCGTTTGTTCAACCTGTAGACATGTTTTTAAATTGCATGTGAAAAATGACATTTAATTAGGGTTGCATTATTATTAGTATCTGAAAGTTGTCATGGGCAAAATTTAATTTTTTCAGTAGTAAGATTTTGCCCACACCTGCCTTGAGATGTGTTATTCGCCTCCAAGCCCAACCCATTTCATATTCTCTTGGCGTAAATTTGCATCCTAACCATGTATGTTATTTAAGAATAGGGGATTTAAACCCTATATTATGTGGTTTAGCTGTATGAAATGCATCACACAGATGACAAATTTAAAGTATGGCAAATCTTCTGTCAGGTGAGACAGAAATTTGTGTTTGTATATATAATTAACGGAATGTTAATATGTCACTATTACTAAATTTGTTGTGAAAAATGGCCAGGTAATGAAACGTAAGTGCTGAAAGCTTAGGCCGCTCTTGTACTCGGCATGTCAGAAGGAAGGAGTTCGTCCTATTTTTCTTATGGTATACCTTTTACCAGAAAACATGGAGCATAAACATACGGGTTCCGAAACCTTAGACTTGTATAGTGTCTTTAAAGGTCAGATCAACTCTTGCACAGTGATAGGGGTTGCTTCTGGTAACCTACCTCTTGCTATATTATGCAAACTCAGGTGGTTTATCCTTATGCTAGGGTAGTATAGAAAGCTAGTTTGCTTTGTGTTGTGTTCATGTAGTTTTCCTTTGTAAAGCTTCCATCCATCCTCGTGTATATCCATCAGTAAGGATGAGAAGTGTTGAGATGAGAAATCAGCATAGTCTGTCATATTTAAGTTAGTAGCAAGGGTTCAAAGAAGTCTTTTACATGGCAATAGTATAGATGCTGCTTTTGTATAGACATAGTAGATTGTCAGTGAATACATAGAGGTTGTAAGATGAACATTCAGTATTTGATAATTTAGGTAAGTGTGTTGAGAAGGCATTGCCGAGTGATAGAACCATTAGTACAGAACATTATTATTTTCTCCAGCCTTCAAGACAAAGATTTGAAGAACAGGCCTTGTCCTTTCATGTTCTTCCCAGTTCATCATTCACATTAATCCTGTCGTTAAGTGTTTTATAAATTATGCCATTGAGAAGGTGTTGTTAGATGGTATAAAAAATTATTTTGGAGAACTGTTACTTTGTGTACGGTGATTTCTGGTTTGAATCTCACTCTGTAGGGGCTTTTCATTGTTTTTGTCTTGCCAGGCAAGTATTGTAATACTATGTAAGATTTGAGGTTTTCACAGCGGTGAGTATGAAGATTTCTGTCTTCTGGGTTGCGCTGTGTAGTCTGGCTGATGTTAACCAACGTTTCAAAGGTCATACTGCCTCCGTCATCAGGGCGATGAAGATTTCTGTCTTCTGGGTTGTTGCGCTGTGTAGTCTGGCGACCTCTGGTATGACCTCTGAAACGTAGGTTAACATCGACCAGACTACACAGCGCAACAACCCAGAAGACAGAAATCTTTATTATAATACTACCATAAGTAATCACCACTCTCTTATCTTTCTGTTTTGCCTATCTCAAACATTGCTGTGGTGATACTTTTAAAATGATGTCCATCATTTTTTATTTCTTTAAAATCCATGACGTAGTATACACGGTTCTTCTGTGTTATGAGGATTGCATTTATGGTAAACACTGCAGTGCATTACATTGAGTCAGCGGGAATTATGAATTTAGAGGTAGGACGTCTTAAGGGCTACTCTTAAATGAATTCAGAGTAGTGGTTAGCAGTCATGAAGAAAGTATTATATGCAGAATTGAGACCGTTGTTGTGATGGAGGGAATGAGCAGGTGTAAAGTGCTGTTCAGATAGCTGTCCAGCATCGTTTCCAAAGATATGAAGTGAATAGGGATTATGTTTGACTTCTTAACGAGCACCAAAGAAATGAGTGAAGTTTTGTAAAGCAAGTTCTACAGTGTGAAATAGTGTAGTTGGAAGTAATGACTGCAGAAGCAACATGAGTCAAAATTAAGGACATATTTGTAGGAGTGTTTTAAAATTTTATGAAACATGATAGGCACTCCCTACATTTTCTGTATATTAACCCTTTGAAGCCAAAGCTCATCTAAATGATATTTAAAAATTTATTTCAAACCACAAAGAATACACAACATCCCATCATTAGTAACTTGTTAATGATGTTTAGGGAAATAATCCCTGTTTAGAGTGAGAATCATGCTCATAAATACAAAATGAAGAGTTATTAATTGTTGAAGCAGGTGGGACATACAATTATCAGTGGGCATTGAAGGTTAATATAATTGGAAGTTCTCGGCACATTGATTCGTGACTTGTGTTGTTTCTGAGACGTGCTTTTATGAACACTAATGAAGTTTCTGGTTCCAAACATTTCAGTGGGTTTTTTGACCAAATAAGCAAGGATTCTGCTCCATGCATTAGTTGTGTACATTCACACTGTGCGTTCTCACATCAAGGGAGATTTTTGTAAACTTGAAATGGATGTCAATGAACATGCTTTATAAACAGATAGCTCTGTAGGCAGTATCCATATGTAGGTGTTAGCAGAAAATGTGGCTTCTGAAGTTGAACATTGCAGTACCGTATTTCATATCATAATTTATGCAACCTTGTTTCTCCATGTACAATTAAGAAAAACATGAATCTTGATATATTTCATTTCCCTTCATATGTTCACAAAATGAACATTTTTATCACGAAATTCTGAAAGCGATTAAAATCAGAAGTGAGTAGGAAGACATCATATTTGTCAGGATTTGTTCTGTCATTGCTACACCTCACAAAATCTGCAACATGACCTTGTACCCATGTAAAAGCAATGGATAGGATGCTGTGTCTTGCCAAAAAGTATGAGTATGACATGCAGATTAAATTATTAAATACAAAAGGCATTTAATTAAAGGAAAGCTGAATTTTGTTAGCTGTTAACATCATACATGACATATGCAATGAAATCGATTATGATGATCTGTTATTAAAAATAAATTTAAGATTTATTACAGTGTCGAAGGTCCACATTTTTCTGTTATACTTTACAGATTTGTTCAGTGATCAAAAGTAGGAAAACTAAGATTCAACAATAGTTTATAAGAAGTCATTAATTAATTACAAGTTTGATAATCTAGAACTTTATGCAAATTAAATGGTGATTTAATCTGTGTTTACAAAAATGATATATTTAATTATAATTTTTGGATAGTGATCTTGTGAATTTTGCCAGATAACTCAGTATGCAAAAAGCTGACATTCACCACTCTAGATGGTACATGGAAGGTAGGGAGACCCTCATTAAGGTGGCTTGACTGCAAAGAGGAAGACTTGAAGAATCTGGGCATTAGAGATGGAAGGTGTCAGATACGGAACAATGAAGGAAGATTTTGAAGGAGGCTAGGGTCCACCAAGGATGGTAGCGCCAACTGAAGAAGAAGAAGAAGAAGATTTTGGGAACTTGAGACATTTTTAATGTGCAGACCTGTTGAAAGAACTGCAGTTACTTTTTTTTATGTATTAATATTAATTTAGTATAAAATGATAGCCACTCTTTCTGTCTTAAAACCCATGCCGTGTTTATATTTGGAATGTTCGTGTCAGGAAGGAGTAGACACCTTATTTCAGACATGATTACATAACATTCAGAGCGAGTGTCTCAGAAGAATATGAGTGAGTGGTAGTCTGTTGAGGAGAGAGAGAGAGAGAGGTATGAAGTTGCAATATTGTGATCTTTCTTCCTTCCACTTCAACTTGTCCAACACTACGTACTTCAGCAGTGTGTTCTTCCAAATTTGCCGTATCATGCACTTCTCCACTGATGGTCACAGCATGCTTGAAATAATTAAACATCTTAAAAAGCAAGTCCCTAACTTGTCTGTTCAAAATATGTTGCTTGGGTCCCCATTCATGTACCTTGAAGACAGTGAAATGTAGGTAGATCAAAACTTGAAGACCAAGTTGCTGTGTTATATTATGAAAACGAGAAAGCATACAGCACTTACGGAGACTGACGCTGTTCATGGTTTCATGGTCTTTGCATTCCCTGTTACTGTGCATCTAATCCACTATCTTTTGTGACACTCATTCTGTTGCTTTTATCCTCCGGGAAAGAGCTCATTGGCTGCAAGGTTAAGGTTCAAATCAGTAGCAAGTTAAACTGTGTTAATTTTTGTTACTTACTTCATTTAAGAAGTGAAGGTATTAAAATATGCTTATTGCTTTGTCATCATAACTGATGTTCCAAGAGTTCTCATTATACCTTGACCCCTTGAAGACTTCTTTAAATGATGCTCTTCCCGCTTCTGCAGCTGAATTGAAATGGCAGCAAGTTTTCAATGTCTTTAGAGATGTCGTATGACTGTTTGGACAGAGTTGTCGACCACATCTCAGAGACAGTGTTAGTTGATAGTGGGTTACGTGATGCATATTTAGTGTGTATATACTTTCAACATGCTAGAAAAGAGCCTAATGTAGTGCAAACATTCTGAAGTATGTTCACATGACTGCAGTGATTTTAAAGTATGGTCACCAGTTATTGTCATAGATAATACAAAAGCCATTATTAATCAGGTGTTCTGATCTTAGGGAATTGCTTTTTGATTTGTACCTAAGTGTTCTTTAATATATTTTGTGATTTCGATCTTGGGGAATTGCTTTTTGATTTGTACCAAAGTGTTCTTTAATATATTTTGTGATTTCTTATTTTCAACTAAATGCCTGCCCGCCTACCCCTCAGCATCAAAATATTACTCAGAACTGATGAAGTTACTAGATTTTTTTAAATTTATTTTTAAACAGCAAACTCATTCAGGAATTTGAAACAATTTTTTGTTTATGTGGTTTACGTAGGGCAGTCAAAAAGTTCCCAGAATTGTGGTATAGCTCTGTAATGGTAGGACATATGGCAATGCTTACCGAATCACATTCAAAGTAGGACCCTTGCGCACACACACACTTGCTCCATCGATCCTGCCATTGTTGGAAGCAGCGGCGGAAGGCTTCGTTTGGAATCTTCCGGAGTTCAGCATTCGACACATCGCTGGTTGTGCAGCAATTCCTCGCCGAGAAAAGCATTCCCATCATCAGACCAACCACCATACTCTCCGGATCTCGCTCCGAGTGACTTCTGGCTGTTCCCTACTCTGGAAATGGACCTCGAGGGGACGAGTTTTGCAACCTTGGAGGACATCAAATCGAACTCCGGAAGATTCCAAACGAAGCCTTCCACCAGTGCTTCTAACAATGACAGGATCGATGGAGCAAGTGTGTGTGTGCGCAAGGGTCCTACTTTGAAGGTGATTAGGTAAGCGTTGCCATATGTCCTACCATTACAGTGCAATACCACAATTCCGGGAACTTTTCGACTGCTCCTCGTATATGGTACCAGCAGTTTCACTAGGGAATTGCTGATGCAGTGCATTAATAGTTTAGTTGTTCATGTTACCAAAGAGAACAGACAAGTTCAGCTTGTTTTGCTTGGATATATTATACACACACATCAAAACTAAATCAGTATTACAGCTCATGACTGAATGTAACCAATATTAAGGCCTAATAGGATAAAGGCAAAAGAAAATATTTATTTCATAGGCTTTTCATCCTCTTTTGCATACTGAAATATCTTAGTATTATGACTTACAATAGGCCTATGTAAATCACTTTTTGTTCAAATGTTTAATTAATTTAGAATCTCTCTCAGGCTGTCCAACATCACACAAGAATTATCTTGGTGATATTGATCTGTTCTGACCAGGTTGTGATTTAAATTTCTGTTTTACTGATGGTTTAACATATAAATGTGTGTGTTTTCTTGTACACAAATTCAACTTGAAAGGAAATATACCATGTAATAAAGTAGATGGATGAAATATTTGTAAACATTTTCGCATGCCATTAGAGAAATTCCTGTTGAGGTGACTGACATAAATGGAGGACATTTTCAATTATATTTTTACACTTTTATCAAGTGTAATTTATGTGCATTCATTGACTGATTTAAGAAATATTTGCAAAAATGTTGAATTTGTATTCCTCTCAAAAACAGTGAATATAATTAAATAATTGTTAGCTCGCTGACGTGTGTAACACTTGAAAGCATAGTGTGAGAACAAGGTTTAAATGAATTGGTCTGATAACCTTTATTGTTTGTGACTTATGTGTCGTGCACTGTCCAGCTGGTCATGTGTCACACTAGCATACTGCTAAACTGTTTGCCGCACATTTAAAGTTTGGCTGGCAGCCCTGGATTACAAACTTTTAAATCCCTTATAGCCATTTGATAAA